GGCACAATAACCAGAGTGTTCAATAATTAGGAAAAAAAAGAAAAAATTATTCTAGCCAAGCAATTGTCACAGCTTCTGCCATTTGGTTTCCAATTAATTTTCTATATTTACATATCATGATCACCTTACAACCTAAGGGAATTTATTTTTATTTTTTTATTTATGAAAAGAGGATGCAGGTTTTATAAACTAATCATTATTGAGAACTGAATAAAACTGCAGATTTTAGGCAATAAATATTGAGGTAAAAAGGAAACACTGCATTTATCACAATGGCCAATATTTTGGTTTAACATTTTAAACTCTATTGTTGATTCTCCACAATTTGAAGGCAAGTAAAAAACAACAACAAAAAAAATTAATAATAACCTTTGTGTTTTTCACTAAACTGTAAATTAAGCAGCGACTTTCCAATTTTATGCTACGATAACTAAGCAGGAAACCGGACATTTGGAACACTTTTCCAGCTCAGCTCTTTGGACCAAAAAAATAAATAAAAAAATTAAGAGTGGAGATCAGCGCTGGAGGCAACTTTTGTTTGAAAACAGTTTAACCCCTCGAGGTAAGAAGGTGCCGGGGACCTCCTAGCACCATAACAACTTCATTGATATTAAGTTATGGTTGCCTTAAGGAGACTAATCTGTCCCTTTACTGCACCATAAAATAAAATTGGCAAACTAATAATTGTCAGTTGTTAATTATTCAATAAAATATATTATTTTCACTGGGCAGGCTACAGTTTACAGCTATAATGTGGTGTGTCAGTGAGAGGATGGCAGTGTGCTGGTTACAGGCACATTACTCCTCCTGGTGTCCCTGAGTGCAGGAGGATTCCCCTAGAGATGAGGGCTTGTCGAGCTTGCCATACCTGCCTGGGTACATTTAAAGTATAATTATTATTATTTTTTAATCACCATGACGACAAGCCCGGTGACACCCCCTGTTCTACTTCCTGTGACACGGAAAGTGAAGCCTCTCAGAGGGAATAATTACCCAGAACCCCACGGGGCAACCAAGTAAAACGGGGCGCAGCCTCCCCCCCACACCCGGTAACACCCGGCGCTGGGAGGGAGGGAGTACATACCGTTACTTACCGCCTCCGCCATGGCGCAGCGCAATGCGCCGCCCGAGTCCCCGGCTCCATTATCCCAGTAAGGGAGCTCCCGCACCTCCAGCCAGGCAGACACCGGGCCTAGCCGAGCACAGCATGGCCGGGGACCCGGTGTGTGTCACGGGAGGAGAGGGAGGCAGTCACACGGCAGGCAGCCAACAATAAACCGAGCGGGGAGAGGGAGGGAGGGAGTGGGGGGAGAGACATCACACACAGCACGGGCAGACTGTAAGACCCCCGCCCGGCGGGAGGCAGGACACTTACCCGGGGCAGCTGGTTGTGCGGTTCGGTTCGCTGGGAGGAGAGCGAGGACCAGAGCAGGAGCAGCGCCAGCACGGAGCCCAGCAACAGCAGGCTACGGAGGAGGAAACCCGGCTTCAGCCTCATCCTGCTCACACACTCACACACTGACTGACTGACTGACTTCCTCTGCCTGCCCGGAGCTGGGATCCGCGGGGATTACCGAGAGCTGGACACCGAGCTAGCAGGCACTCACCGACAGCACTCAGACCAGCACACACTGTGCTCACCGACAGCACTCAGACCAGCACACACTGTGCTCACCGACAGCACTCAGACCAGCACACACACACACACTACCCAGCCCGACACAGGAACACCGACACACACTGTACCCAACACTCAGACCAACACACACACACACACACTGTGCTCACCGACAGCAATGAACCCCCAGCACTGAGACTAACACACACACTGTACCCAGCCCGACACAGGAACACCGACAGCACACACTGTACCCAGCACTCAGACCACACACACACTGTGCACACCGACAGCAATGAACCCCCAGCACTGAGACTAACACACACACTGTGCACACCGACAGCAATGAACCCCCAGCACTGAGACTAACACACACACTGTGCACACCGACAGCGCTGATCACCCAGCCTGAGACAAGAACACACACACTGTGCACACCGACAGCAATGAACCCCCAGCACTGAGACTAACACACACACTGTGCACACCGACAGCAATGAACCCCCAGCACTGAGACTAACACACACACTGTGCACACCGACAGCAATGAACCCCCAGCACTGAGACTAACACACACACTGTGCACACCGACAGCGCTGATCCCCCAGCCTGAGACAAGAACACACTGCCCCTACAAGCACTCAGCACTGTGCTGCTTTACGCTGCATGCCCACTAACACCAGATACATTTACTCTCAGCTACATGTAGCAACCAGGAAGATATAAAAAAAAAAAACTTGCAGTCAGATTCCTGCCTCTCCCCCTCTTCACTCGAACACTGACAAATAATCACACCCCTCTGCCCATAGCTGATCCCTCTTCATACACACAGGTGTGAGCTAGCTCTTCTCTTCTCCTTGCCTGGCTTTCTGCACTGTCCCTGGCTCCTTCCTCCTCTCTCTGGTCCCACTGCTGCCCCCTGTTTCACCCCGCCTCTTCTAGACATTAAAACTTTTTTTCCCTTGTCCTTGTGAGGTGTATCTGGCGGCTGTCACTCCTTCTTTCGTTAATCCAACGTGTACTTACTCACCTAAGGACTGGCTCACACCATTCATTGTGTGATAGCTTTAATAAAATGTATTGACCTCTAGTTAGTTTTGGTAAGTGGGCTTTATACTAGCCCACCTGAGCAATGGCTTTTTAATAGGAAGAGCAGTATTGTCCATTTTTAGAAAATACATTTTTTTTTTTTTTTTTTTTTACTGCCATCTATCAGACACTGATTTTTAAAACATAATTGTCACTTTTCTGGAATCAACAATTCCTTGCTCCCTCACGCTTGTAAACGATATTGAAGTTATTAGTTGAATAATGCAAAGAAAAAGAGAAACCCTCCCCCCCACCCCCCACACAAAAAAAAATATGCATTACACTCTTATTCCATTACTAGTTCTGTACACCCCCCAGGCAAGGTATGTAAATTAAAAAATAAAATAAAAAAAAAATAAGAATTTTAAAACCAAATATCACTCTCCAAAGCTAATGTTTACTTAACCATTGGATTGTGTATAAATCTCAAACATGAATGTTACTCTATAATCCCTTTGTGATAGGCCTCCACACGTGGTACATTGCTGCCACTTGTGCACTTTGCAGTAGTCAATGTAGTCTGTATCATGACCACTAAAGTGTAATACTTTTACTGATTCGATGGCACGTTACAATTTTGAAAAGGGGGAATTGTAGCAGCAAACTCAATTAAGTTCCTTACAGTTACAGTAGTTTTCAAAAATTGATGTAGCATTTAGCGCACTCCTACTACAGTAAGTCAAAGGGAAAAGAAATGCTTCAAAATGAACATGCAAGTTCTTGTACCAGAACACTACAGTATTTGGAAAACAAAGCTGTATTCCTAACACTATAGTGTCCCTTTGCCCCGTGCCGTAGCAATGAAAGGATTAAAAAAAAAAAGTTTTAAATTTCCATTATTCCAGCGGCTCTGTATCCACATCCTCCAACATAATGCACATGCACACACAGCACCACGTGCACATAAGGCCTTCCCAAAAGGAAAGAATTGATTCAATGTTTTCCTATAGGGATTTTGAAGACGCTGGACACATGCAAAGTGTGAGGACATCCAGTGTCATTTCGTAAAGTGAAACAGCAATAAGCTCCTCTAGTGGCCGTCTGGTAGACCGCCACTAGAGGCAGTATTAACAATGCAATGTAAGCATTGCAGTTTCTCTGAACAGAGACACTGCAGCCAGACCACTTTAATGAGATGAAGTAGTCTGGTTGTCTATAGTGTCCATTAAGTAATTTGTAAGACTTTCAATACCTTTCTGTAAGTGAGCTTATATAGCAGTGTTGCCTCAAAACAGTATAATTCATCAAAAAAAATATGAATGAACTTATGCGGCTGGGATTTGCTGTGGCTTCTAAAAAGGTAGCAAAGTATTTACATTCATGTATCTTCATGAATGCAATTATTAGTGAGTGTTACCCTGCACAGCATAAACCCCTGCAAATTGACATTGATATACACACATTTTATGACCGATTCCCATTAATTTTGGACAATGAAAGTTCCAGTTTTCTTATATAAAAAGTAAAGTTCTGGCACGCTTAGATTGCTCTCAGAAGAGGTTTTGCTAAGTACTATTGCTGATTCAAACATAAAGCTTTCACATGCACAAAAAAAAAAAAAGATACTTTAAACACCTTACTAACACACGATTGCATAGAGTGCTGCACCCTCTTTCCCTGCACAGTCACTTTTCACTGCAGCAATTTGCAAAGCGAGATGCAACTACAATCAGCAGGGGCACATTTCCATGCACATTTTCTGATTAACCAAAACTGCTGCAATGTATTGAAGTGCTTGGCATTGACTTATGGGATACGCTCCACTCACTTTGAATTCAATGGGAAGGCATGAATTGGGTGACACACTTGTCAGTTAGTTTCTCGTCTTGTCCGAGCTCATTGCAAGAAGCATCAACCCCTAGGGAATTGTAACAAATGACCTTGAATGGCAGACAGTTATTGTAAAGTCAGAATATTTATATTTTTTTTACTTTTTAAATATTCTTGCATATTCATTGCATTATCACTGTACTATCATCTACTGCAGAAATTGAAATTAGAGAAATCACAATGCATTATTCATAGCATAACACAAAAATACATTAAAATTGGGGATCAACTATAGTCTGTATTGCACTTCTAAAACATCTATTAAGTAGCTCATAAAGTATAAAAGCAATGTGAAATATGGAGTGCATTCACTGTGATAATTACATTATGCCTGGTATATGGCTCTTGGGCATTTTTGGTGCCATGGAGTGCCTCCTAAGCTATGTTTGTCTTTCCCATGAACTCCCAAAATTGGCACATTACATTTTTTGTTGTGTTAAGTGACATTTCTTCACCAATTTAACTTAATGCTGGTGTGGAAAGATACCCAATCCATCAAGTCTTATTTAAATGCAGACAATCCCTTTTCACAATCAGTTTAGAATTGCTTAAAAACAGTATTTTTAAATTTGAAATGATTTTTTTTAATTGCATCCCGAGTATGTATTTCTTTCTGGTTTTATTGTTGCAGGTGTTAGTTCATGTCTTCATGTGGGCAGGCCAAAACCAAATATACTGTTAACCACTTATCCAACCCTTTGCCCTGGCTCTAAAAAACTGAATAACCAGGATATGCATCAGGAAGTCCACATCTGTAAATCCACGTAGCTTTTACAAATCAGGAAGAATGTTCACCGCACCCTCAGGTGAAAGAGCAAATACTGACAGGTAGATAACAGCAAAGTAGAAAGAAAAGTAGGGTAGGCACACATAAAAATCCAAACTGTGCTGCCAGTGCAGAGACAACCAGACTATTCAAGTGAAAATAAATCAAAAAGGACTGGGCACAGACATAAGGTCCAGGACAGATTTATTGGATAGAATCAAGTGACGTTTCAGTTCTGTGTGAACCATTAGAAAGCCTTTATCAATTTCAAGCTTGATAAAGGCTCCCACTGAACCAACATGTTGCTTGATATTTAGATAACAGGCCACCTTGCATTTATTCCTGTCCCAAACTGTTTTTCAGGTGTCACGTGTATTGTAAGCAAATAAGTGATGGCAAGACACTTTGATTAATTAACGGCACATTGTGTTTTGATGGGGTTGTGTGCATGTGTATAACCAATTGTGTATATTGAATATATTTAAATTGTGGGGGGGAAAAAGTGGGTTAAATGTTCTAATTCGGCTATTTTCCAACTGCTATTTGACCTACAGTATGTGGTCCTCTTATAAATTCTGCACATTCACCAGTGGAGTGAATACCTCATAAAAGTGCGTGTTCCAATCTGTATTTCTCCATGGTTTGTATAGGACCTGTTAGATACCTGCTTTCCTAGATAGAGAAACAATCCTTATTAGCAATGTGATGGCTGACAGATGTCACATAAGTCTCAAACATAACATAGGTCACTAGTTTGCTGCCCTAACCAGGAAAAAAAAGGAAAAATATCACGTTACTCAGTACATTTCAGCTGAGAATTAGGACCTACCATCCATTTATTTTTTTTATTGACCTTCTTGGAGATTGCAAAGGTCGAGAGCCATGCAGAGGAGCAGACATGAATGCTAACATATTTTACAGCAGAAAGAACCAAGCGTGCAATAAACAATGCTTCCACGTTCATTGGCTGTTTTTTGTGTGGTTTTTTTTTTATAACCCCTTCAGTGCCAAAAACCCTTCTAAATGTTAGCCTTTTCGATGTTTCTTTTTCTGAAGCTAGAATAAAAACCCAAAGATCTGTAGTGTGTATAAAAATGTAGTGAATTATGTAATAATGTTTACTCGGTAATAGCAATGTTGGAAAAAAATAGATATTGCACAATAATAGCCGTCTAATATTTTATTGTTCACAAAACTTGTATGGCTCTTGGAGCTTTTCCAGGGGTATAACTAATATATTGCATTATTTATTAACAGCTCGAAGGATATTTTTCTTTTCCAAAAGAATGTTCAGGTAGCTGAAAAAAAAAAAAAGAATTCTTTACACATACTATACATGTACAATCACTTATTTTAATATTTGCAAAAGGATTTGTGCAGCGGGAGCACAAAATACAACACCCTGCTAACTGCGCAACACTACAGATTTTAGACTTAGTGGGTTGTTCTATGAATGAATCAAAGATGTTGCCAAAACTCCATAAATACAAAACGATGCAGCCCAAAACAATTTAAACCAAAATCTAGTTTCTACATCATAACAACGTTTGCAACATTTTAGTTCATTCCTGGACCTTTTTTTTGAAGAACATATTTGGTCACACTCAAGGTCACAAAATATAAAAATCCTATGTTACCATTTACTATGCTAGGATTTGCAAAACTATACCTACAAGTACACTCCTGAAAATGTGGGGCTCTTGGCTGAAGAAACACTGCCCCATCGCCTACACCACACACCAAATGTTTGCTTGATAACTTTCCTTAAAGGGTAACTCCATTCCTTATATAAACTATTTTATATTGTTTTTAGTAGACATTATGATTAGATCCCAACATAAAACTTGTAAAAAGGTTCTTGCTTATATGACATCCAGTTGCAGCAAAGCTCCTGGAGCTGATCATCCATGCCCAACCTGAGAACATATCAGCATTTGCACGGTCCAATCACAGGGTCAAATCACTGAAGTGGTCATAGTGGTTGGCGTAACCCTCTGTTTCCTATCTTTTCCCCAGCACCCAAACTTATTTTGCACTCTCCCCTATCATCTTCTTACTTCTTTGCTCTGCAGGACGTGAGAAAACATACTGGTAATTTGTCCCATCAAATTCTACCTGTGGTGACAGTATAAAACAGGCTACTTCAAACTTTGGCCCTCCAGATGTTGCTGAACTACAACTCCCATGATTCTCAGCCTATTTCATTCATAGAATCATGGGAGTTGTAGTTCAGCAACATCTGGAGGACCGAAGTTTGGGGAAGCCTGGTACAAAATGTGATACACGCTTAATTTAATATATTGCCATTTCACCTCCTTAATACAAGTCCTGTGGAGCTACCTGCTCTGTGTTGCGTTAGAAAACACAATGGTATTTTAAAAAAGTATTAGTATAAGATAACAAAAAACATAAATATAAAGAAACCTGTATATGTTAAATGGAACAAATGAGGGACGAATATGCAATACAAAATTAAAACTGACAGTATTTGAAAGTGAAATGTTTCAGTTAAAGAGCTAGTCCGACCTTTTTTTTTTAACAAACTTGTTTTTCCATTTATAATGCCTTATTGGGCTGGAGTAACCCTTTAACTGTTGCTTCTGTGTTTTAAAGTTAGCATAAACCTACCTGAATACACTGATCCGCACTCCTATCTGACATAACTCCTTCACTCTTGTGGTCAATGTTTAGGGAGGCGGGGGTTGCAAAGACAGAAGCTGACCACGTCTGTCTCCAGCACACTGTGCACTCTATACTTTTTGCACAGAATTAACACTAAGCAGTGAGCTGGGGGTGCAACTAGCCCCTGGCACACAGGTGCAGATATCTCTTTATATGTAGTATGTCAAGCAGAAATACTACACAAACAGTTTTTTACCAACATGACCACTTCTAAAAGCAAAAGCCATAGTGGTAGAAATCCTTTAAGGTTATATTTTTCAAGGTGATAAGTCTGTTCGTTATTTCCATTGCTTAATATACCACCTATGCCTATATAATACGGGTAAACTGAAAATAGTTCTTCGCTGTCTCTAGGGAATATTGTTGTTAATGTACACTGAACAGTTTTTTTTCATTAAAACGTGAACTGTATGTAGGTAAAGTTTCTTGTTTTAGATTTAAATTACCGAACTGAAAGCATAGTTGACTTGAGCTATTTTGGTCTAAAATTGTATATTCACTTAGAATTGCCAACGATTATGGAAGCATTAACCAATGGGCAGTCTTCTACCCTCACACTGAAAAGATAGGAAACATAACTCTAAAATTAGAATACATAAAATCACCCCCTACCTATCAGGCAGTCTTTTGTTCTGTCCTTCGCAGCAGGTCAAGGTATGCTCACCAGCCCATTATCTTTGTACACCTGACCAAGGTACAGCCTCTTTCCTAGAAGATACAGCCAATATCACATATACAAGAGTTGATTGATGGCTGTACTCTTTTAATGATCAATAACATGATAATAGTACATGGGATGCATAAGGGTATACAAAGGTGACTCCCTCCCTATCCTACTTTCCTGACGTCGAGGCCAGATTTACCCTCTTTAGTGTTCCAAGGCCTGCTTCCTCAATGCACATATATATTAGATCCAGTAGACAAGATGACAAATTATTATGTAATGATACCCTTTTTACTACACTAACATAATACTTAAATGACAAGCTTTCAAGATTTTTCTTCTCTTCCTCAGGTCTGAAACAATACTGATCAGTAAGCACAGAGTGCTTAACATAAAGTAGGAACTAGGAAATAACAGGACTGAGAAATTTTTAAGACTTTGGGGGACTACCTGACAACTCAGGCAGTACTGTAGAGTGTCATTGTGATCATGTGATTGCAACGTCATCGGAATCACATGGTACATGGTACAGGAGTGCCAGCAGGAGGACTGAAGATAAGTGCATGGCAGCTGGGGGGCTGGGAATGTTAGAAAGTACTATGCAGTGTATATATTTTCATATCTATTATTCCTGACTTGGCCTGTTTGCCTTCTGCCTGAGTTAGTGTTCCAATCCCTGGCTTGACTTACTACCCAACCCATATACCAGTCCCTGGCTTGTATTACTACCCAACCCGTGTACCAGTCCCTGGCCTGTCTTACTACCCAACACGTGTACCAGTCCATTGCTTGTCTTAGTATCTAACCCATGTACCAGTCCCTGGCTTGTCTTACTATCCAACCCGTGTACCAGGCCCTGGCTTGTCTTAGTACCCAATTCATGTACCAGTCCCTGGCTTGTCTTACTACCCAACCCGTGTACCAGTCCCTGGCTTGTCACAGTGTGCAGCACTGCATAGGAAACACCTATAGTAGCCATCCGAGGAGTGGCCACTGGAGGTGTCCTTAGGCTGTAATGTAAACACTGCTTTTTCTACGAAAAGACAGTGTTTACAACAAAAGGCCTGCAGGGCAGGGGCGTACCTAGAGCATTTGGCACCCGGGGCGGATCCTGTGCTTGGCACCCCCCCCCCCACCCCCCTCCCCAAAAAACAAACAAAAAAAAAACCTGTAAAAAATGTTAAAGGTTTTATTTCTTTTATTTTTACAATTTGTAAACTTTGCAAAACCGTTGTCAGCCCCTCCTACAAAACCCTTGTCCTGCTCTGCCCCTCCTACAAAACCTCTGTCCTGCCCCTTCTACAAATCCTGTACTGCCCCATCTACAAAACCCCCGCAACCCCCTTCCAC